TTGATGCAATAACAATAATACTTCAAGACATTATTAGTTATATTGAGGATATTCTAGGACTTTATGTTTTTGCTGCTGAATCCATTGCACTAGATGATAAAAATTTTCCTAAATTGGGAAAGCTTTATTATATTTATACAAAAGCATTACTTCCTGAATTGAAGGATTTTAACTTAGATAATATTGGAAATGATTTGCCTTCTAATTCAGTTTCAGATTATGATAATCATTATAATCATTATGATAATGCTGATATAGATTCGTCTTCATCCAGGATTTTCTTATTAAACAAATCGGAAAAAATCAAAGAGGAAAAGGATTCATCCAATAAAAAAATGAAGACAAAATCGGAAAAAGATGAAAATTTAGTTGAACATCATAACATTGAAATGTTAACTGATACAAAAATAAATGAGATAAAGGAAGTAACAAAAGGTTTGTTTGTTTTGACTAAATAAAGGGCATGCGGACATATCGGGACGGCATTATCGGGGCATTTCTATGACGAACATTAATTTACTAATTTTGTGGCCTACGCAGGGTAATTTTTTCCAATTCACAAAAGGGGGTATGGCCTCTCAAAAAGGGGGAATATGCTGATCACATCGCTGATCTATACCTACTTTTATCCTTTTTTAGTTCTGGAGGCAAAAATTTTGAGGGCTAAGAAGAGGCTAAGAAGTAGTGATGGTCGGGAGTTAAAAAAACCCGAGAGTCGAGACCGAGAGTCGAGACCAAGAGATTAGGAGGGATACCCTCTCTCAGTCTCACATGTCCATGGAAAATCTCTAATCTCCATCCATTTCCTATTTCATCCATTTCCTGCGCCGCAGGCGAAAATTTTGAGAATTTTGGAGGTCCTTAAGTCAGATTTCTTCCATTTTTTGTGCCGAAGGCGAAAATTTTGAAAAATTTGGGAGGCCAATAGCCAGATTTCTTTCTTTTTTACCGCCGGAGGCGAAAACGCTGCGCCGCAGGAGGAAATTTTGAAAAATTCATGATTAAATCAAAATTTTTAATGTTTTTTTCAAGTTTAAAAAATTAAGAAAAAATAAATTAAAAATTTTAAAATAAAAATCAAAGTTTAAAAACGTTTATTTCCAAAAAGAAAAATTTTACAACCTCATTTCCACCTTAGGATTCGAACCCAACACTTACGAAATATTTAAGTGAGTGAAGTCAGTCAACTTAACCATTCAACCATCAACCATTAAAAGCACATGGGAGAAATTATAAATATATTCCTTTCCCCTTTCCTTCAAAAAGTTCAAAAAATTTCCGTCATTAGGGGTGTAAATTTAGTCTCGTTTTCCGAGACTAAAACACCGAGACCGAGACCGAGAGCTCAAAAAACCCGGGAAATTTCCCGACTCGGGAACCGAGACCGGGAATCCCGACCATCACTACTAAGAAGCAAGATTTCTCCCTTTTTAAGAAAAGTTTAAAAAGGTGGCAAAAAGATGGCAGGTAGAAAAGAGGGAAAAAAGGGGGCTAAAAAGTCAAAAAGGGAAAAAAAGCCCCCTAAAGATGTTAAAAGAATCACCCTGGGCCCACGGTCACTGGATCTCGGATTGTACATTGCCATATTGGAGAAAAAAATTTTACTTGCTAAACAAACATAGACGCAAGAGGTTATTTTTCTCAAAGCAATCCGCCCACCTATACCTATAAGTATAAAGTCGTTGTTACGCCAACTTGAATCAAAAACGACAATTTTTAATTTCGTTTATTTAAAATAATTAAATATTTAATTTTAAAACAGAAAACATTAAAAAAGTTTTAAAAATTTATTTACTTGTGGATAAGAAACTTCGTATAGAAGAGCTTGTGACAGATTTACCGAACAAATTAGGATATATACAAGGAAATGTATTTATTGATTCATCGAAAGATGAAGCTGAAAGTTATAAATATTTTTTAAAATACATTAAAGGTAAAATATTTTTTTTTAATTAGGAAAAACTCTTTGTGGGGTGTTTGGATTGTTTACAACTTAAAATATGTTACCGTATTTTCTCGATTAATTCCTCTTTGTAATTAATATTTCGTGTAATTAATATTTCAAAAATATACTACAGTGGCGGCATTCTAATCGGGGAAAATTTTTTTTCTGTTTCTTAATGTTTATTCAAAGAAATTATTTCGGCCTCCTTCCTTTATTTCTGTATATTTTTAAAATTTATTGGAAGGAAAAAATAATGGGAAGAAAAACAATTTTAATATTAAAATTTATAATTTACTTATAGATACAATTACTCATGTTGAGAAACCTCAACGACTTGAACCGTAAATGCAAATTTTAATTTTTTAAATACAACTTTATTATATATATTTTATGTACATAATTTACAACCCAGGACTGTGTACACATATTAAACCTTCAAAAATGGAAGGCTGGCGACTATAGTAAATATGAGACGAAATCGGTTATAGAGTAAACATACAAAGTTAAATCAGTTTTGAAAAACATAACCGTTAAAAATGATCGCCTGTCCCGATAAATATTTCCTAGCCCCAACTAAAAAATCTATTATGTAAATACAAAATTTACCTAATTTCATTCATTTATTTTTATTGTTTTATAATTTTCGTAAAAATTTAACTAAATTTTTGATTGACAAATTTAAAGAAGATACATTCTATTAAAATTATTCAGACCTTTTTAAAAATATTTTTACAAGGGTTGGACACAAATAATTAATCGAATCACAACCAAAAAACGTGGATAAGACAGATTGTAAGCGAAAACCTTTAATCAAAACCTCCCGATTTCGGTTTTCAAATAGACCTCTAAGGATGAATATTTTTGTCAATTTCCTTTTCAATAAATACTTCTCGTATTTAATCTATGTATAGTTTCCTTCAGACCCCACATATGAATTAGTCTCAAAAATTTCGCATGGAAACGGAAGAAGTCAGATAGGTTTCTTCCAAAAACCGAGGACCAGTGAAAAACAGGAACCGAAAACTGGTGGTCGAAAACGAGTGGAAATGGTTATTAATCGGTTGTGTCCAACCCTAATTTTTATTTTAAAATCATTGTAATCATTATTTTATTTTATTTTTGGATAAATTTTGAAAAAATATAATTTGAATCTAAAATAGGCTTCAAATCTTTTAAAAAGGATAATGGCAAAAGAAAGTTCTAAAGAATGAAAAGTGTCCAATTAATTTTGGTTGTAATTTTGGTATAATCAGAAATAATTACCAATTTAGGTTGCGCTTTCTTAGTTTCCTTCTTCCGCTTTTTATTTTCTTCCGTTTTCTTCCTTCCGTACACAATTGATATTTTGTACATTTGGAAAATGGAGAGAGGGCCTTTACCTTTACCCCCAATACATAACTAACATCCGCTATTTATTGATTTCAAAACACATATACATAGTAGGTATTTGCCTATATTATTTAAATATTTCCGATTATAAACTTGAAATTAAAATTTAAAAAATACTAAAAAAACAACAAAATATTTAATGGAAAAAATAAAAAATCAAGGACAAGCTATGCCTGTTGAATTACTTGTTAATGTGTTTAGAACAGCTAATATTTCTTTAAATGATTTAGGAATTCGGTAAAATATAACTAAATTTTGGTAATAGTTTGGCTACCCCCCCCCCTCTTTTTTCATCTTTCTATTTCATTTTTCCTCTGTGGCAAATTAATTATTATTAGAAAAATCACTAAACTCAACGTAATCTTATTTTTAATAAACAAGTTATGACCTTTTATTTTAAGCTCATGTTGTGGCACAAATTTAGCTTCATAATGCTGTTCAGAATCCTCAAATCTAGCCAATTTTGATATCTTTCGACCCAGCTCGAAGAGCTCTTTTGAATGATTTATAATAATTATATACCTATATCAATCAAAAAAGCTAAAAATAGTCAGTGAAAAATAAAAAATTGGGAGGGGGGGGGGTGGGTTAGCCAACCTATTATCCAAATTTTTTATTATAAAACTAATATGTATTTTACAAATTTTTTGCCCAAATTATTAAAATTTTAAAAATAAAACTCTTAAGATTTTTTCTTAAAATCGAAATATGATCATTTTAATTAAAAGATATAGACTTAAAAAATAAAATTATCCAACTTTTGTTTGAACACTTAAAATATACTAATTAAATTTAATATTCTCTAAAGTTTGAGAAATAAGAAAATGGAAGGAGATCAACTAAAAAAATATTGGCTTAAATTTGCTAAGAATTTTTTAACGTCTTCAGGAATAATTAATTCTTTTGCTGGAGAAGAGTTTAAGAAAATGAAGGTAAAATAATTTTAAAAATAATTAGGAAACTATAAATAAAAACTATAAATTTTAAATCTTATTATCTGTAATTTAAAATTAGACAGTACCGATATACCTACTTATCGAAAAAAATAATTTATATGTAGACCCTATAAATAAAACACTACAAATAGTATTAAAAATGTAAATAGAAATTTTTGGTGGTGATCGAAACAAGGGTTGTTTCCCGTCCCCGAATGTTGGGGAATTTGAAATTCCCCCCCCCCCCCCCCCCGTGGCACCCCCTCCTCGTCGGGGACAACCCTAATCGAAACCAAAAATAACCTAAAAGCACAAAAAACTTTTTAATGTTGAAACAATAATCAAAAAGTTCAGAAATTAGGAAGTTCTACGAAATTTCAAAAGCAAAAATTCAGTCATTAATTAAAGTTCAAACCCTTTAAAGATTATCGAAAATTTAATAAATGCAACTTTCCCCCCTATGTTTTTATAAATAAATTTGTTTAAACATAACTTGCCCTTTCCCTTATTAAATTGAGGTTAAGGTATTAAATCAATGGAATTAGGAGTAAACTACATAAATAAGTGACCATCCACATTTTTTCTCATTCTTTATTAAGTAAATGTTTTTTTATTTTTATTTTTGCAAACAAAAATAAAAATTTGAATAATTATTTATTAATTTTATTTATTTATTACGTCTTTAATTTTTAGAAATATATTCTAAATTCAATTTAATTAAGACCTTCTTAATGTCTGAAATGAAGACTGAATCCGTAAGAATTGAATTATCAATATAAAAATTTTTGATTTTTATAGTTGGGTAGACCTGAAGATGACAAAAGTCTTGACTTGGTTATTAAGTTAACAACTCAATTGGCCAAGAATTTGAAAGAAGCTGAGGAAACTAACAAGCTGTTGGTTGAGGCGCGTGAATATATTGAGAGCGTCTGTGGTGTTGGATCCAAATTGACTGGTGATTTTTTCTAATCTGTAAAATTTAGTTACCCTTTTAATTAGTATGTATGTCATAGTTTGAGGGTTTTTTGTATTCCCGTGTTTTAAGGCGCTGAATCAACTTAAGTTTTTACTGAATCGTTTTATTAACAGTGACTTCGCTTAAGGATAGAATTTTTTGCTTTATTGGAAATTTCCAAAATTATTAACTTAAAAAATTATAATAAAATAATTTTGTTCTTTTAATTAAACAGCAAAGAGAGGTCTCAAGAGGAGCCATAGTCATTCTTCAACATCTCCAACAAAGAAGAAATATTGTTTCTTCTGCAACATTTACGTTATGAACGAGGATTATAATGCACATTTGGAAAGTGACAAACACATTGAACTTGTTAAGCTCAATAAGCTTACTCCACCTACTTCATCTTCAAAAATGGACAATTGAGAATGAAAGTTGTTAGTTTAATTAACTCTCAAAATTAATCTCAGATACAAGAAATATTTTTGACAAAAAAAAACTCATACTATTTGCTTTGCTTTCGCATTTTTGACAAAATGCATAAAAATATTTAAACAATTTTTGAACCAAAATTTTACTTTAAATCAAAAATTTTTTTCGTTTTAATAACTATTCCGGGCTAAAAACTAAAATCACTTCTATAGATTTAAATACAAAATGTAAAAATTAAGTTTAAATATTTTTTGTTCTTATTTATACATTTATTTCAAAAATTTGTATATTTTATATTTATAAGCAGAAAGTGTAAATGTTGGGAAGGGATGGGGTTATCGTTATTATTATTATTTATTTTACACTTTCTATTTGTGGATTTCTTGTATGTATGAGTATTTCGAATGGATAAAAGCATTTATGATTGTAGAAGAGTTTAATAGATTTTTTTTTATTAGAAAAGTTAATTTGAATCGCTAAATTGTAGTTTTTATGTTGACTCTCAAAAGTTATCTCAGGTACAAGGAAAAATATTAATTTCATTTTGGCTAGTGAACAAAGTTCTTGAATTAGGTACACCCCGATGTACCGCGAGCCCAATGTACCGCCAAACTATAACTTTGTCCGAAATTGTCGAATCCGTGGCGCCTCGCATGGTTTGATTCAGCTGGTCGAGACGCATCGAACCATACCAGGGCGCCACGGATTCGATAATTTTGAACAAAGTTATAGCTCGGCGGTACATTAGGCTCGCGGTACACGCGTCCCTTGAATTAAAGCATTATTTTTTGTAACGATGTTATTGTTTAAATTATTTCTATTGGAAAAGAATCTGAGAAATTAGAACCTTTAAAATTATAATTAATTTTAATAATTTATTCACAAAATTATTTAAATTATTATTTAACTGTATCATTTAAAAAAATTAATATTTATCAAATTATTCACAACCATTAAATTATAATCAACAATAATTGGTTAGGCAGTGATATTTTTAAAAGTTTAAAGAAATAAAAGGAAAATTAATATTAATAAAATATAAGTAGAATTGCAGAGGTAATAAATTATAAAGAAATTTTAGAAAATTTATAAATTTTTAATTTTATTGTCTACAGCTATAATTAATCCTTTAAAGCGGTCAGGTGAGCATTCTCCACAATATCCACCACAAAGTCCTTGAATTAGGGCATTATTCTTCAAATTAAAAAAAAATATTTAATTTACATAATTTCACTATTTACTTCAAAGCGTTCAATTCTAACACTTGTCCTATGCCCTTGATTGACCCATTCCAGGTCATCAACTATTCGAAGATCAGAGCCGCGGAGATCTATTGAAAAACGCCCCTAAAATTAAAAAAAATTGCTTAAGCAATCAAACAAAAGAAGTATTCACTTGTGGGCAATCACTCATTGAATAACAATCACCAGCGGTGCCAAAAGCTACAGGACTACCGTATTCAGTTACAGCAAATGTATAGTCATTTGCTAGAAAAAAAATTAATTCTTAATTTGAATTAAAGAATTATTTTACGATTAATTTTCATATTGTGAAGGTCAATGCGAACTTTGTTATATCTCGTAAAACCTTGGCTGACATGGCCATCATTTGTACAAGCACAGCTATCGTTTCGAAGACCATTATGGGGGCATGAATAGGGGTAGGCGAGTCTATTTTTTTTATTATTTTGAAAATAATTTAAATATTCCCCTCACCTTTTCCCATAAAATTCAGCAAAATTACTTTCGGGACGTAGATTTAAATAAGTTTTTGGAATTGTTTCGTTCATTTGATGGCAATAAACGATAATTTTATAGCCATTAAGCATAACCTTTAAATACAGAAATTTTCAAGTTTTCGAAAAATAACTAAACACACAGTATAATTTCCATCATTTAATTGTTTTTCATTTCCGTCAATATTTATTTGTTTAGCCTGGTGATGGGCTTTTAATTCGGCACAGTCATTAGGCATACAATTTCGAATGAAACAAGGCTCTCTACGTTTGGGACGGGTTGATAAATCACATCCACCCCCGTCTGGGGAATTTGTTGTTCTACCACCTTTTTTATCCAGACATCGAACTTTGCGACGTTTAAAGCCTGGGCCACAACTTTTTGAACACTAAAAATAATTGTAAAATTATAATATGGATTGTGCTTATGTATAAATAAATGATTAACATATTTATATGGAAAAAAGAAAATGAAAAGAAAAATTAGGGAAAATAAGAGATTTAAAATTTTAATTATAGGAAGTGATTTGGAAAAAATTATAGGAAAACGTTAATAAGAATAAATGTGCCCAAAAGGGCATAAGCCCTCCACTATTTTCTCCATTTCTCTCACCTATTTAATTTTACCGCCCACAATTTATTTTGTTTTTAACCACGCCTACTTTTGACTGTCAAGTTAGCGCTCGGCTGTCCCTAAAATCACTTCTTCCAAAACCTTCTTTAATTTTCTAATTCCTTTAAACCCAATCAATTAAACCAACTTTTCTCCCTTCAACCGGGAGCAGGAGAGCGGAGCACTAACTTAATTATTTGTTCGTATTTCACCACATATTTTAATCACCAATTTAACCACACCGCGGATCCCGAGCTGTTATCGGACCGCTAAATTTATTTGTTAACTAAATAAATCTTTTCTTCTTTGGTGTGTGTAATTTTGGGGAATTTTGGGTAGGCTGTCGTTGTCATCATCGCTTATAAGCCTAAGAGAACTTTGAGTTCTCTGTCCTCCCTTTATAAGCGTCCGTCCCTCCCACAGCCGGAGGCCGTACAAATTGTGTGTCCACCCGAAAGGGCTTTTGGGCACATATAAAAATTGGAGCCCCGTACGGGTCCGCAGTCCAATCGCACTGCCCCCGTTTCTTCAACATCTTGGCCAATTTTGTCGGGCTGTGTGCCGACTCGTCACGTTTGCCTTTTTAGGCTAGATTTTGTGTTTTCTCTTGAACGCGCGGTTTTGGCCACGAGTGCCAACCGTTATCTGCTCATCAGCCAGCAGCACACGAATTCTTACTCTTGGAGAGTAAATCAACATTTATCTGCTCACAAGCCAGCAGTTCACGAGTTCATCATCCATTACTCCTGGAGAGTAATCTACAAGTCGGAAACTATCCGATTCACAGCCTTACCCCACAAGCCCGCACAACGAAGTGCGCAAAGTCGTGATCCACCAAGCGGACCGACATACATTCACGCTCCTTGAAGGACGCGCTTTTTTCCGCGAACAAACCCGCTCATCCTTTCTTCTACAATTTTAATCTTTGCTCTTTGCCAGCATTTTTTAGTGCTTATTTTGCACATTTTTGTTGAAAGAAGTCATTCCTTTGTTTTTCAAAACTTAGGTCTTAACACAGTTCATCAGTTGTGCACAATTTTGCACATTTTACACGAAAACAAGAAAGGAATTTTATTAGGCCAAATCATCGGCCAATCAACAAGTTTACAAGTTGGTGCATTTTTGCACATTTTTTGAAAAGAAAAGGGACACGAAAGCCTTTTCTTTTGTTTGGCCATAACTTTGGCCATTCACACGATTGGCGCATTTTAGAGCGCGGCAACACGAGTTCAAAGAACACTGACTTTTCGCTCTGTGAGCAAGTCATTTCTTTTGTTTTGGCCAACCCGTCGGCCAATTACACGGCTAAGTCAGAGCGACTGACTACCTTTTTAGTGTTTATTTACATTTTTCACACATCTGCGTTTATTTTTCTCTTTTGAAAAGAGAATTTGTGCTGCCACTTACCAGTCGCGGCAAACACCAACTTAGCACAAAATATACCAAAAAAAAGTGCTCTCTCTTCTCATATTTTCATCAATTTTCTGACTTTGATAGTCAGTTTTCAGCGAGTTTATATTTTTAGCTTAAAGGCACAAGTTCCTTAAGCTTTTGCGTTTTTGGACTAAATTAGCTAGTCCAACGCTTATAAGCAGATTATTATAATCGCTTATCACGATGCCATCTTCAGGACATATTCGAAGGAAAATTGGGCTAGCTCTGAGAGCCCTCAAGGATCATATTATCGCGGCAACCACCCTTTTGGGTAATGAACAAGAAGCACAAAACCCGGCACGCCTCCGGGCTGAAAGACATCAGTTGATTCGCACACTTGAGCGAATAGAAACTCTCGATCACGAGTGGACAGGATTTATTGATCTCCTGGATGGAGGAGATTTGGAAGCCGAGGAGCAGCTGTACAACACGTTTCCTCCTAATGTACAGGAAGGACAAGTTTGGGTCCATTTCATGGACTTCGCAGAACAGGCGCGGGGAATTATCGGCGAGCTAGACTTCCTCCTTTTGGAAATGGAGGAAAGAATTACAGAGGCTAGTGAGCGTAGTGAACGAACACGAGAGTCACAACGCATTCAAAGTCGAACTCAAGAAGAGCAAAGTATTGAAGAAAACAAGGTCAAGGACACTCCTTTATTACCAGACACACGTTTACCAGAGCTCAAAATGGAGCCATTCAATGGAGATCCGAAGAAATGGCCAGCTTTCTGGCAATTATTTTCAATCAACATCGACCAACGTCAAATGGACAATGTTAGGAAAATGAGTTATTTACTCACCCTCCTCCAAGGTCCCGCTAAAGATTTAGTTGCGGGATTCATTTTATCCAACGAGAATTACACGAGAGCACTGGATTTGCTCAAATCACGATATGGCGATAATCGAGCCATCACTGAAGCTCTAGAGTCGGAGCTCATGAATTTGAGTCCGCCAAACGAGTCCTGCCATTCAGTTCGATCCTTTGTGGACTCGATTGAACGAATTTGTCGTCAGCTGGAAGCTTTCAATATTGTCGATCAATCTCCATTTATATCGACAGCCATCAAGTCCAAGTTGCCCCGCTCTATTGTCTCAAAATTAGTTGAGAAGGAACGAGGAGCAGATACTCGTTGGAATTGTGCTCAGCTCAGACAAGAGCTCATTAAAATTGTTGAAATTAAGGAAGAGGTTCAGCGGTGTACAACCTCTCAAACACCCAAGACAAAACCTGAGACGATTGAGAATCACATTTCTTCTAGAAGAGGAAATTACCAAACACGACAAGGAGTACAGGAGCAATCGCGTACATTTATTGCTCCGGCTCACGTACACAAGAATAAACCGTTTGGGAAGTTTGGACAAAGAGAATGCTCCCTTTGTCATCAAGGAGCACACTTCCCAAGTAAATGTCCAAAGTACCCGACGCCACAATCGCGTTTTAATCGGTTAAAGGAGCAGCACCGTTGTATAAGGTGTCTGCGCGAGGGCCACTCATTTAAGGAATGCCACCTTCCTATGTTATGCCGCATCTGCCAGGGCAAACATAGTTTTCTCGTTTGTACCACATCTACAACGAGGAACAATACGCGACCTAACAAGACAATCAAGAAGGGAACTGCGCCAAATAGGCAGTTTACCCAAATGACAACCACGATTGAGACTCCGTTGACTGGAGCTAATTTAACACAAGAGGATCCTCCCGATTCGGAGAGTGATCCAACCATGACAGTTACTTCCATAGCATTTCCTCACTTGCGCAAGAAATCAACATCATATCTCATGACACGAATATTGGCAATCAAATCGCCAAAAGATAAAACAAGTAGAACACTCGCTTATGTGTTCTTTGACCCAGGCAGTCAGCTCAGTTATATCACCAAGGAGCTAGTGGACAAAATTCGTCCACCTCAATTATCTGTCGATACCTCGAGGTACACGGATTCGGCGGAACAATGAGAAAGCCGATTCGATTCCGATCACCAACATATGCCGTCTCGATCAAGAGAGAAGACGGCGGTTGGGAAGAGCTTGAACTCAATTGGACCAAGGAGATAAGTACTCCTTTTGAGATGGTCCAGTGGGCGAAAGAAATGCCCAACAGAGGATTAGATCACCCAGAAATTCAGCAAGCACTCAAGACATCGTCAGAAACACCAGGAATCATACTAGGAACACGACACTTTTGGAAGTTCTTCAAAGGGCAAGCAGAAGTTGCTCCTGGAATTTATGTCATTCAGACTGCATTTGGTCCAGTTGTTGGAGGAGAATCTGATATGAGTCCTCACAAAGGACGGGTTTCACACTTAGCTCCTAAAATGGGAGAAGTAGTGCTAGTTAAGGACCCCAAAAGGCCAAGAAATACATGGAGTTCAGCACGAGACATAGACCTAGATACCCAATCAGGTTTCATAAGGAGCCTCAGGCTCCAACTGCCCAATGGTCGAATACTATCTCGACCAATTAATAAGATTCGCCAGCTTGAAGCAGGCACTCAAACAATTGACAATCCAGCAGTCGATAATTCGGTAGAAAATTTAGCTCCGAAAGAGGAGCAGGCAAAGGAGCAAGCGCTCCCAGAGCCACAAGAACAAGCTAATCAGGAGAAACCCAAAGAATTTCCAGATCAGGAGAATCAGCCTCCTACAATCTTCATTACTAAGAAACCAAAAGAACCTCCAGATTTGGGTTCAAAACATAAAATGATTACGAGAGGAAAGGCAAGATTAGGCATTCAATCAATTCTAGCCGCTTGCCTTTTAACCATCATAGTATTCCCTATATTGGGATTCACTTCGCCAATTAAATGTGAAGGCTGCCCAACTTGCCATGGATGCTTAGTCCATTGTAGCAAGGCTGGGGTAAATGTCCTTTCACCGCCAAAAATAAGCAAAATTGAAATTTGTTGCTTAGACCGTTGCCAATTACTACCAGGCCAAGACGAAACGATTCATCAGCTTCCCAAAGAAATATTGGTCAATGACTATACTTGCCATGCCAAATTTTGGGACACAAACCGAGAAATACCATTTGAAGTTAGCACGAAATGCTT